GTAACTTTTACATGCACTAATATCATTAGTAGAAATACTATATTGATTTATTTTAAATTTATAAGACGGAATATTGTCCACCATTGTGATTGCTTCAATAGTATTGCCTTCATCTCATATACATACTGCTAATGTCAGTTTCAACTCTAACCTTTTTCTTTTCATAATTGTTAAGTATGATTATTGAAATTTCCATGAAATATGTTGTAAAATATGCAAGTTTTCATTTGAAAACGGAAAAGTATAAACTTCATGTAAAATAGGCACACTTCACGAAAAAAAATAAAGTGTCAGCTAAAACTGACACCAGGTGGATGGTATGATATAGATTAATTAAGACGAGCGTTCGTAGCCACCACCGAATTAGCATTTATTACTATTTGTATTTTCGATAAATTTGTTCTTTTCACACAATTTACCTCAGACAATAATGACGCCAGCTTGATTAACTGTTTGATTATTTTTTTGTCTGTTTATCTATAACATTTCTTTTCACCTTCTGTGATTTTTCCTTACGGTACGCGGATTATTTAATAGTGTTAATGCTTTAGAAAGTGCGATGTGTAAATATATAGAAATGTAAAGGCGGTGTCGACGTATAGAAAATCTGACGAAAATTATTATTATTATTATTATTATTATTATTTTGGTTTTACAATATTTATAGCGGGTTTGTCTTCCACGGAAGAAATTATTTCAATTAACTCTTCATTCATGCATATTGTCCCTCCAGAAGTTCATGGCTCACCCCAACGTCCTATCTTTTGTATTTTTAACAACGTCCCACTTTTATTATCATTCCCGCTTCCACTTCTGCCTTCTATTTTCATCCCTTACCTGATTCGTTGTTTCCCTTTGTTTCCCTTGCATTCAGTATGCCATGTGAGTGTCAAACTTTCCATGCCTCTTTCCTCATTAAATCCTAAAAAATCTTTCATCCATGGTACTGACATCGTTATTCTGGACTGAACAACTGAGTAACGAGAAAGTTTTACGAAACAAAAAATACTTCGAATCAGAAAGAGACAGTTTTCTTTTTAGGACATAACAAGAAAAAAGAACTTGGAGAATCTGATACTCACAGGGCATATTAAAAGCTAGAGACAAGGTAAACAGAAATAAGCTACCTAAAGAACTAATGTGAATATATGCCAGAAGAGTTAATGGTGTGATGATGAAAAGAGACAGAGCAACAAAAGTAGCTGTGGAGATCCATGATCGTCTACCTCCTTAACAGAAATGACACATAGAAGATCAGGAAGCATTGCCGTATCGCGCCTTATCCTGCCTTTTCAGCAACCAGTGGCCTTAGGTTGATGGAGTCTACAGTTTACATTTTTAAAAGGTTTCAATCGATTTGAAATAAAGAAATGGGGTCTTTTGTTTGAACCGGTTCAGTTGCATTCCATAATACTGTCAACGCTAAAAGTAAATAGAGTGTGCTATACATAGCGTCAAATAATGTAGATTATTGATATATACGGGTAGATTTATACGGGTAGATTTATAGGTGTATTTGAAATAAAGTGGAAATACATTCAATTTTCACATCTAGACTCATAACAATAATCCCGAAGAAAAATGCTTGGGTTGGAACAAAAGTTCGTAGCGTTTTTACAATATGGGGCGCTTGTACAACTGATTTAATTTCACATCTTACTGGGATTTGTGACACATTCAGAAGGTGACAAAAGGCGGCAATTCAACGGGTTTCACCTATGCGATTCATGTGTAGATCGTAAAAAAGTTAAGCTGTTTTACGTTAAAAAATTAAATGAAAGAAAAAAGATCGTGAATCGATTTTCCTTTATTATCGGAAAGGAAAACAACAATAAGAAAGAAAACAAATGCTGTACAAGCAGCCAAACAAGTAGGTTTTGTTTATGGAGATGGTGCCATAGCTGAGATCATTGTTCATAATGGGTTCGCTAGGGTCAGACAGGAAAACTTTAACCTTGAAGAACAATAAGATTCTGCAGAGGTTGGTGATGACCAAACCGAAAAGTTGATTCAACTAATAATGATTCCCAATACAGGTCACCACAGAGGTACTCCACATATCTGATATGGTCGCTGTAAACACTTGAATACATAATTCACTAATGTGTGTGTGTCGCGATTTAAGGGAAAAAAGATTAATGGGCCGTATTTCAATCAGAAATATTTTGCCCAGAAGGAAGTAAAAGGACTCATTTTTGAAAACAATGACCACAGACGATGAAAAATGGATTCTTTACAACAATGTGGTGCAAAAAACGTCATGGGAAAAATGAAATGAGCCATGATTAACAACTCCAAAATCTGGTTTGCATCTAAAGGAGATGTTGTTGTGTTTTTGGTGAAATTGGAAAGTACTATTAGCGCCTGGACCAGTTTAAGGTTGCAATTAATGAAAAGCGCCCGGAATTGGCCAATTGAAAGGGTGCCGTTTTCCATCAGGACAATGCCAGACATAGGGTCTTTTCTCAGAAATGACTTCCACTAGTCCATCAGTTAGAAAGATACAATGATCTAGGAGGATGAAATCAGGACGATGAATAAAAAATTGCAAAGGTAGTTAAACAGAATGGCTTACCTGTGGTTGGATATATCTATACAAATATTGCCTTTAAATTTCACTATAAAAATATCTACAGAAATCAATCAAGTAAAAATGTTTAAATATCTCTGAGTTGTGTTTTAACAGAAATTGTAACAACGAAAATCGAATTGTAATAAGGGAAATCCAAGACTTGTTAGAAAAATTTGGTATTTCTTGTTAAAGCTAAACGAGTGTTAGAAAACAGAGCCTTTTCAACGGTAAAATCTAGACAATCTCCTCACAGATGAAGAAGAAACTTGAGGCAAAATAAATGTGCTTTTATAGTAGGATGTTAAACAATATTAGATAGACATTTGCATGTGATTATAGAAACACGCACACGGACAACACACACACAACACTAAACTCGTCCATCGGATTTTCTCCCTAGAACTGAGACTCTATTGAGTTTCGATTTTAATGTCACGGTCGACAAAATGTCTTCGTAATTATTATCATTTTTTTACAAACTTAATGGATGCGTATTATACATAGAGATAGATATATTTCTTAATTTTTGGATCATTTGTTGGAGTGCGTATTATTTATGGGTGCGTATTATTTTTGAGAAATTACGGTATATGATTGGCTCAATACCTTTAGACATGGTGTATATATATATGCTATAGCCAATAACAGAAATATAAAAATGACAAAGCACTCCGCTATAAAATAAACTAAACTAAACAAAGTACAGACACAGAAAATTATGTGTTAGTTACGAATTAAGACAAATTCCAGAAAAGATTTTCTGATAAAAAAAATAAATTCTTTGATACCCACAGTGAAAAGGGAGACGACTAATTATTCTTTTTTTTTTTTTGAGTTGTTTAATGTTTTTTATCTACATTTATTTAATTAAATAATTAATTAGTTCATTTTATTTTTCCTTTTTATGTTTACAAGTTTCCACACGGAAAAGAATAACCAAAAACTAAGTGAACGTTTGAGATTATGTCGACTGGATTAAGATGAACTATGTAAAACATTTTATTACAGCTGTATCGTTAAAAGTAATTAAAAGAAAATGATTTGCTCAAGCGTTCACCGAACCTTTTTTCTTTTTCAACTGCTATCGTATCATGCTAGTGACGAGGAATTTCTTGAAACGGAATTTTTTTTTTATAGATTTGGGATGAAGCATAAGAGTAAATAGATCGTCGGTTTCCCAAGAGAAACATAAAAAACGAGAGGTGGAATTCGAACCCAATTCAACGATTCCTTCACCTCTAATGGTTCTACCAATGAGCATGCGCAGACACATATGCTTGAATACAAGGCAATAAGCTTTTTTTATTAAGCTTGGATATATATATATATATATATATATATATATATATATATATATATATATATATATATATATATATATATATATATATATATATATATATATATATAAAAAAAAAATCATCACTGAAAACGTATGTGACGCTGATTTTTAAGAGTCAATTTATTGGAGTATTAATTTCTGCGGCTAATCTTGACAAACGACAGGCCTGTTTTTTTTTTTTTTTATAATATCATGATAATGGAATATCGGAGTAGTTACTATATTAGATGTTTCAGTAAATCTCCCGAGTCTGATATGAGAAGTGGAGTTATCTGGCTAATGTTTACCAACACATCAGTAGGGAAGGGATCTCGTATATCATTAAACATGGTAGATGTTTATATTTAAATTTAGGCAGGAATTGTTCTTGCAAGCAAGTCTTGTTAAAAAGAATAGGCATTTTATGACTATTAAAAAGTATATATCTTTTTCTTTGAAGCTGCAATAGCATTTCGCAAATGTGTCTGTTGAACATATAAAAAAAATGTTAGATCCAAACTTTTCGGGCGTCCTGGATATGACGATAAACTACATCCGGCAGCAAGGCCTCTGATCGGGAGATTTTAAGGAGTATGGTGCCACATCTTAATTACTGTTGTTTCAAGGCCCAAGTGGTAGAATATGTTAGGGTCCCATCTATGGGCAATTAGTTAACACCAGAACTGGAATCAAAACACTACGAGAGTATAAAAAAATGATTCTTATAGTAAAAATAACAGCAGTAGAATTAAAAAAAAAATATCAGAAACAGATTTTTTGAAAAAAAAAAATTACCAGCGATAGATTTGACTCTCGACAAAAAAACCATCTTTACAAAAATAAGTCAATGAAACTGATTTCTTACAAAGAATACATCTTCTATTCATACGAACCTATCTTAAAAATCGTGTCGACATTCAATAACCCACTGAGGCTGATATGCCGTAAAACAAAATAAACCAATAAACCGAACTAAAATTTCAACTCATCGACGTGAGAAAGTAACGAGAAAATCTAACGTATTGTAAGCAGCGAATTATTTTAAATGTGTCATTATATCTTGTTTGAAAGTATGATATAATGCACATTAGAACTTATCTCGGAGAC